CTGCCCCAAGATGCCCCCAGGAGGCCCCGAGAGATTCCCTGGAGGCCTTCGCGACACCCCAAAAAGGCTCCAGAAAGACCCGGGAAGCTCCCGAGAAACCCTTATCGAGCTCGCAGGAGGCCTCTGCGCAGACCCTCAGAAGCCCGCCAGAAGCCCTTCGTTCTCCATGCTCCGGAACAGCCCCTCGGCACACGTGGCCCCGGCTGCGCCCCCCGACCCGCCCGCCCAATGGCGGGGCCCGAGGGCGCCCCCACGGCGCCCGTAAGACGCTCCGGAAACGCCTCCCCCGCACGCGTGGATCAGGTGACAATGATGCTGATCGTCGGTGGTCCGTCGTCGTCGTCGTCGTCGTCGTCGTCGTCGTCGTCGTCGTCGTCGTCGTCGGTCGTCGCTGGTGCGCTACAGGCCAAGCCCTTCCTTGAACTTCGCAGCGTCCGCCCGAAAATCACGCATGGGTGAAAGGGAGGAACCCGGAGGACCACGTGGAAAAGGCCCCGTGGAAATTGGCGCCGTCTTCGGAACCGACTTAGAACCTGAGCGCGCGCGAAGCGCGCGCGTGGTTCTAGTCTGATTTTCTGGTGTGCTATGTTTTCGAACGACACTGCCTGAATTTATCCACTTTCGAGCGCGAGGGGTATTTGCCTGTTCTTCCCGGGGCTGAGCACGGCAGTAGAGAGTGCGCGGGCGTCGGGTTTATTGTCGCCCCTTGGATGCGCCGCGCCATCAAAGGGTATCTGCAGCAAGACATTCCGATGGCAAGTTTAAGGGTCCTGGTATCTGGCGGGATTCTTATTCTAGTTGCGGTGTGCGCTTGGACTAGCGAGCACGACTGCGACGTCTGGCGCGACTTCTTCGCGGATCTGTTGAGATTGTCACAGAAGTGCAAATCGCAGAGGCCAGCGCTATTTCTATGAGATTCTAGCGCGAGGTTATTGCAGCGCCGTGCCAGAGAAGAAACTGCCATGGAACTGTATTGTATCCCTGCGAGAATTTCACAGAAAGACTGGTCTCGACATCAAATGGGGAGTCATTGCTGAAACTACGCAGTGCCATGGACGGCATCATCGCGAATTATTTTTCGACGCAGGGCATCTTATCGCGATTGGGGTGCCAATCCAGCAGGGCCGATGCAGCCCGGGCGCCTCGGGCAGCTGGGCCGCGTCATCGTTGCGCGGGACTGGCTCAGCAATGCGGCGTTTATCTGGAGTGGCCGCAGGAGGGTGCTGCAATCGCATTATTGCATACATATTGTTGGTCTTGATATCGACATGCCGAAAACGGAACGCCCGCGCAAAGCATTGCAATTTGAATCTGCGGAGCTTGAAGGCACGGCCATCGCGTGAAAGTGCGCCGAAGCTTTTGATCACCATTGGGGGGTCGCGCCTCTATGTCCAGATCTTGGCCCCAATGCAGAATGCGCGTCTACGTGTGCGTTGGAAGCAGCAACGGAGGTTTTGCCGACACTTCGTGTGCAGAGAAAGCGACCCTGGATCTCGACCAAAACAGCAAATCGGGCGATCGGGCGACTCAACGAGCAAATTCAAGTGTGAGTACGCGCTGACAGAAAACGCTGGTTGGAAGAAACTGTTGCACATGATGGATGGCACGCTGTTCGGGCTCTCCGGAAGGGCCAGCCAATGAAGCGCGGAAGGCTCTGGAACAGCGACGGGGAATTGGTGGACTCAGAGATGAGAAAGAGAGAGAGAGAGAGAGAGAGAGAGAGAGAGAGAGACAGAGAGAGCCCCCCCCTTCGAAAACCGGTGGGGTCACTGCTGGTTCGAACCCCTCCCCCCTCCCCCCCCGCCCCCGCGCTCGCCGCCAGCAAGCGACTCCCGGGTCCCTACCACCGTCCGCTCCACATCCCCCGCTGCTGTCCCCAGCACCACTGTCCTCTCCACCGCTGTCCCCGCTGTTGCCACCACCGTCCCCACTGTCCCCGCTAGTGCCCCCGCCACTGTCGCGCTGTCCCCACTGTCCCTGCCACTGTTCCCACCGTGGTTCCACTCTCCCCACTTTCTCCACGGCCCCAGCCACTGTCCCACTGTCCCCGCTGTCCCACTGTCCCAGTGTCCCCGCCGCTGTCCCACAGCTGTCCCACTGTTCCCGCCGCTGTCCCGACTGTTCCCGCCGCTGCCCCCACTGCGCCTCTGTCTCATTATCCCGCCGCCGTCCTCGCCACCGCTCTCGCCACTGTCCCCGCCACCACTGTGCCCTCCACTGTCCCACACTCTTCACCGCATTCCCACTGTCCCAGCGCCGCTGTCCCCACCACCGCCGTCCCCACCATTGTCCCACTGTTCCCACTGTTCCCACCATTGTCCCCGCTGTCCCCACCAGTGCCCCCGCCTGTGTCTCACTGTCCCCACTCTCCCCACCGTTGCCCCACCGCGGTCCCACTCTCCCCACTTTCCCCGCGCTCCCCACCACTGTCCCCGTTGTGCCCACCACTGTCCCACTGTCCTCGCCGCTGTCCCACTGTGCTGTCCCGCCGTCCCCGCTGTCCCCATCGCCGTCCCGCTGTCCCCACAGTCCCCGCCACTTTCCCAATTGTATTACTGTCCCACCACTGTCCTCGCCACCGCCTTCACCGCTGTCCCCGCCGCTGCCGTCATCGCCAGTGTCCCACTGTCCCCGCCACTGCCCCGCTGTCCCCCCGCCGCTGTCACCGCCGCCACCGCCCCCGCCACTGTCCGCGCCGCTGTCCCACTGTCCCCGCGCCGCTGTCCCCGCCACCACCGTTCCCGCCGTTGGCCCAGCATCCCCACCATTGCCCAATTGTCCCGAGGAGCGGGAATCGTTTGCCGGCGGCGAGGGGGGGGGGGAGGTCGAACCGGTAGTGGCCCCCCCCCCCGTTTTCGCGCGGAAGAACAGGCTCGGCAGGAACCCGACCAGACTGTCAAACAGAATTGTCTAACAAACTTGGCTCGACAGAGCCGGAATTCGTGGCAATTTCGTTGCCGTGTTGTGCGGTGCGTGAGGTGTAGCATAGCACGGCATTGTGCAGTTCCGCAGATTGCAGACTGGCGTTTTTTTGGTACCAGCCCATGCGTTTTTTTCGGCCACGTCCGCAGGACACCCTGCGGGCGGATACAGATTCAAGGCGTGAAACGCGGATAGGCCGGTACAGCCAGTCAAACAATATGTTCCCGGAGAGCTCTCGGGGAACGTAATATTTTGATCGCTTAGGGCATTGCGTTCGGTGTCATCGTGCAGGCGCGGAGGCGTGTAGCAATGACACCTCCGCGTAGGCTCGATCCGACGATGGGCTGGCATCCCCCAGAACGGAGTGTCCTCATAAGAGCTGGCAATTCCTTCGCCTCTAGTGTGACTATTTGCTCCCTGTGTGCTGCATCGAGCGCGAATGTGGCGACACCGGGTGTAGCAATGCCCTGGTCCGCGGACAGCTTGTGTCCAGAACTGTTTGGCTCAAGGCCCACTCGGTGCGATGGGCAAGAAAAAGGGAAGCGATTCCCACAAACCTGCCACACAGCAGCTCCGACAATTCAAACGTATCATTGTATCAACAAGTACGTTACTTTGTGAGCGTCTCGGGATAGAGCCCAAGGATGTCCTCAAGAAGCCCCTCCCCATCAGCAGGGAGGACACGATACGTCTGCTGTCCGACATCGCCGACGGAAGATTGGTGATCCCAGAGATCCCACAGCAGATCCAACAGTGATGGAGTCCATCGGGGACACGTACGCGGGGCCACTCGAGAGCAGAGCCCTGCAAAGGGTTATGAGCCCAAACGTTCCCACGATCCACGGCACGCAGTTGGGGGCGCAAGTGCGCCAGTGTGCCGCCTGCTTCGACTACGTCGTGGGGCCCGCCGTGCAGTGCGACAACTGCGGCGGCATTGTGCACGCCCACTGCATGCAGGTGTTCGGCCGGAGCCTGGTTTGCGTGACCTGCATCGCGGAGCGGGACGCCTTCGTGGCCGCGAGGCGCTCAACCATGATCCAGCACCGCGCGCAGCAGTTCGGCCGCGCGTTGGCTTCTGGTGGGCAGCTGGCCGGCCAGGTCGTCGGTGCGACCGCCTTCGGGCTTGGGGCCGGAGTCGCTCGACTTGCCAGCGGAGTGCTGGCCGGCGCGAGGCAGACCATGGGCGGAGTGGCCGAGATCCCTGGGCCTGCCCGCCCTCGCGTGCTGCCTGCACTGCAGCCCGCGGATGGCGCAGCCCCTCTTGGAGGGCAGCAGCTCAGCATCGACATGGCCGACAGGATGGCGGCCATGGAGGCGGGGCTGGTCAGGCTCCGAGCGGAGAGCGCGCAGTACCGCGAGGAGTTTGGACTTCACCAGTCCGGAGGCGGCGGCTGCGCGACTCCAGGCGCCAGCAGCGCCGCGGGTCAGCCAGCCCCATCGACTCCGCATTCGACGAGTGCGGCTGCCGCCGCTGAGGTCGACCAGGATGGCGTCGATGGTGCATCAGCCCTCCTCGCCGCGGCCCTCAGCGATCCAGGGGGTGCCCAAGCGCCAGCCGACGGCATCGAGGTTGCTGCGGCGGTCGCGGTAGCGGCCGAGGCGCAGCAGCGTGCAGGAGGAGCAGCAGGAGGAGGTGCAGGAAGAGCGAGCGGGGAGCAGGCGGGAGAGATGAGCGTCGCCGACCCTCACCGAGCCACGGCGCCACCCGCGCCGAGCGCCGCCGCTGGCGGCGCAGGCCTCGCAGCTGAGTGCGCCCTCCCGCCTGGACTTGGCGCTGCGCCCTGGCCGTGGTCATCGGCGAGTGCGCCAGGAGGAGGAGTGCCAGGAGGCGGAGGAGGAGGCCAGCAGCCCCAGCAGCCCCAGCAGCTTTGGGCCGCCTCTGGAGCTGTAGCAGCGGCGGCCGCGCCACCGCAGTTCGGCGGAGTCGGGCTGCGCGGTGCCAGTGGGCTGCGCCGCCGCCGCCACTGCCGCCGCCGCCGTTCGGCGCCGCGACGGCTGCTGGTGACTTCGCTGGCGGTGCGAGCTCCGCCGATGCAGCAGGTCTTGCTGCTATCTTGAGCCGTTTGAAGGCCGACGAGGTGCCCGAGCTTTCTCGGACAGGAGGCAGCAAGGCCTCGAAGTATGAGGGGTGGTTGCAGACCAGCACCCTCTACTACGCGTCGGTGCGCCCGCGGGTCGAGGCCTGGTGGTGCAACCTGCGCGCTGCGGTGGACGCATCGCACGACGAGTACCTGCACGTGGGCCCGCTGCAGCGGCCGTGCATTTGCCCCCAGACGTCGTGGGCAGAGGTCGGGGCACAGAGGCAGGTGGAGTACAAGTATCGGCCCTACCTGCTCCAGGCCATGCCCGAGTCCGTCAAGGCCCAGGCGCTCGCCGCCAGGCAGCTGAGCTGCAGTGAGCTCGTTTTCGCCGTTTGCGTCGAGGCGGGCCCTGGCGCCCTCCGGGATAGAGCTGCCACGTTGAAGGCAGTGGAGCGCCGTGGCAATCCGGCTGCCCCAGCCCGGGGGGAGGCCGTGGCCCCAGACCCCACCATCCAATTCACCACGTTGCGCACGCTGGTGAGCAAGATGGCGGAGGCCGACGAGGACTTTAAGTTCCGGATGAGTAATTGGCAGTTCGTTCAAGGCCTCAGTGGCGCTGCGAGCTGCAGCCAAAGCCAGATCGACGAGTTCTGGCGCCCCCTGGCCGGCGAGGCCCGCGAGGTCCCCACCGACGGGGCGAGGCAGCAGCAGCGGCGGCAGCAACAGCAGCAGCAGCCGCAGCATATTCAGCAGCTTGGCAAGAAGGTGCAGGCGAAGGTCGCGTCGCTGGAGGCGCAAATTGCCTTCCCCAAAGGGGCGGGCAAGGGCGGCGGTCAGCCATTGAAGCCAGGCCCGAAAGGCAAGGCTGGCGGGCCGACCAAAGGCAAGAACAAGGGCAAGGACGCGGAGCAGTCGAAGTTCTGCCAGTTCTTCGAGTCCGATGCTGGCTGCAAGCAGGGCGGCGCATGCGCGTGGCCTCACCGCGAGCTGCAAGCTAGCGAGGGGAAATGCTTCAACTGCGGAAGCAAGGGGCGCTCCAAGGGCGCCTGCTCGCGCCCGAAGCGCGAGGCGGCGGCCAAGGCAGCAGAGGTTGCCATGGGGCCTGGAGGTGGTTCTGCTTCGGCTTAGGATCCAGGCGGCGCAGGTGCGCAGACGCAGCCTGCGGCGCAGGCGGGTCAGCTCGGGGCCGTGGTGGCTGCGACGATCAAGGCTCTGGCGGGCGAGGGATCGCCTGGTGCTGCGCTTGCTGTCGCGCCCGTGGACGCGGACCCCGGATGGCTGGACAGATGGGCGACGTCGACGGCTCGGTGGCCCGCGTGCGGCGGTAGCCGTGGCGCGCCTAGTGGAAGTTGGCGGCGAGCGGATGCTGCTCGCCGACACGGTCGCCGCGCGCGAGCTGCGCTCGATCCCTGTGGAAGGTGACCCTGGGGTCGAGACGCGGCGCGTCGATCTGCAGGCGGCGACGGGCAGCGTGGAGGCCAGGATGGGCGAGGACGACGTGGTGTACGTTGAGTCCGATGCCCCTCTTCAGCCGCTGTTCTCGCTGGGGATCTACATCGAGGAGTGCGGACTCGGGCTCGAGTGGGCGCCCGAGGCTTGCGGGCTGCGGCTGCCAGACCACCGATGTTTGGAGCTGCGTCGCGCGGGGGGCAGCATCTTCATCGAGGGGGGCGATGCTGAGGTGCTGCAGCGGCTTCGCGCTGCTGTGCGTTTGGCGCGCGGTCGTGCCGTGGTGGCCCAGGCGATCAGGGCCGCAGCTTCGCTGGCGGAGCTGGCAAAGCATCGATCATACGGGCGTCCCGCATTGAGTGCCGTGAGTGCAGGCTCGCCGCAGGGCGCGTGCGCTCGCGCTACCGCCTGGGCCCTTCTACCCGGCCAGGTGGGCAGCTTTCGGTTGATCTGAGCGGCCCCCGTCCGCCCGGGCGATGGCCGAGTTCGTTGCAGGAGGACGCGCCGAGGAGGGCGCAGTATTTTTTGCTTTGCGCGTGCCAGGTGCTGACGCAGGCCGAGGTCGCGCAGCAGGGCTGCAACGTCGCGGATGCGAGGGTAGCTGCGGCGGCCGGCGACGCCGCGTCGCTCGCCGAGGTCTGCGCCAGCGTCGCCGACCCCAGCGGCAGCGCTGCTGATGGCGACGCCCGCGCGGGGGCGGACGTCTCGGAGGCGAAGGTGTGGTACTTCACCGTGCCGCTGGAGCGCAAGACGGCGGAGGAGTGCATCAGGGGGCTGGACGCTGTGGTGGCGGCGATCGGACTCGAGTTCCAGGGCCAGGCAGTCTTTCGCATCCACTCGGACCGTGCCTCGGAGCTCTCGGGGCCACGCGTGCGGGCCCACTTCGCCACGCAGCAGATCGTGGTCGCCAGTGCGCCAGGCTTCGAGCCCAACAGTAACCCGCGCGCGGAGCGCGGCATCGGCGTCATCAAGGGCCGTGCGAGGGCGATGCTGATGTCCTTGTCCGCTGCCGATCAGCAGTGGCTATGACCAGCTGCCGTGCAGCGCGCGAGCTGGTGCCAGCGGCGCGGGGCCATGGGGCGGGCGATCGCCTGCCCGGCGTTTGGGGATCGCGTCGCAGCCAGAGTCAAGGGCCCTCCCAAGAGCGGCTTCGCGGCGCGAGGCAAGGAGATGATCTTTCTGGGCGCGGAGGATGCTTATTCCCGTGGCTATCTGCTGGGCCGGGGGGGGCGGGGCGGGGCGCCAAGAAGGGCAAGGAGTGGGGCTTCGAGGTTTCGAGCTCTTTTGTGGTCGACGTCTCGGCCGCGCCCCCGGGCCCCTCGCTGGGCGATGCCGGGGGCAGCGCCGACCGTGGAGCCGCCGCGGCGCCAGGAGACCAGGGGGGGAATCAGCAGGCTGAGGAAGAGCATCAGCAGGCTGAGGAGGACCTATCGGCCGCGCGGCCGAGGGAGCATCCAGCAGAGGAGGATCGCGCCCAGGGGGGGGGGGAGCATGGCGACGCAGCAGCGCCAGGAGGAGGCAGCGGCGACGACATCTTCGAGGCGCAGTCCGAGGAGCGGGTCTTCTCGCGCCCAGCATGCCGAGGCCGCCATCGACCCTGCACTCGGAACGAAGGATGCCGCCCTGGAGCGCAGGCGGCGGCAGCGACGCTGGCGACAAGAAGGAGCAAGGAGAAGGCGATTGCGGAGCAGGGGGGCGATGACTACGACGACGAAGCCCCTTCAGAGTTCCACGACATCGTGAAGGGCTATGGCGTGCAGGTCGCGTCGGGGAAGGACTTGGCCAATGCGTTCGGCGCGGAGCGCGAGGAGTGGAAGAACGCCATGGCCGCAGAGTTAGCCTCGATGGAGGAGAAGGGCGTGTTCCACGAGCTCTCGGTTGCGGAGTCCCGAGCCGTGCCAGCGAGCAGAATCCTTCCCATGAAGTTGGTGCCTGGGATCAAGCCTGCCGACGAGGCGGGGTGCCGCCGCGGGAGGGTGCGCGGCGTGGCATGCGGGAACTTCCAGAAGAAGGACCCGACGGAGGAGCTCTACACTGCCAACGTGGACATCAGCTCCGTCCGCACCGCGATCGCTGTTGCGGCCCACCAGGGGTGGGCAATCGGAGCGATGGACGTCTCGACGGCGTTTCTCAATGCCGACCTGCCCGCGAGCAGCGCCGAGGTGATCTTGCGGCCGCCGGCGCTGTTCGTCAAGTATGGGCTGGTGAAGCCGGGAGTGTTGTGGCGCGCAGAAAAAAGCAATTTATGGCCTCAGGATTGCACCGCGGGCGTGGGCTCTCAGGCGCGACAAGGACTTGCGCGCCCTTGTGTGTGACTACGGTGGCGAGCCAGTCCGCCTGAAGCAGAGCACCGTCGACCCTGCCGTCTGGGCGATCGTGCCGGTGGCGGAGCCCCGCGTGGGAAGCGAACGCCGCGCGTTGGGCTACCTCCTGAATTACGTCGACGATTTCCTGCTGGCGGGGCCGTCGGCGCTGATCGCTGCTTTGGAGGGCAGGCTCCAAGCCGTGTGGAAGGGCGCCGCCCAGCCGATCATCGGCCCGCTGACGCCTGGGGAGTTGCGGTACTTGTCCCTGGTGATAGAGGCGCGCGCGGACTGCTACACGGTGCGCCAGAAGGAGTACGTCGAGGACCCTCCGGCGAAGTGGGGCCTCGACAAGGGGAGCTCGGTGGGGGCGATCTCCATCGACCCGCTCCCGGGGGGCCAGGGCGAGACGGCGGGCCATGAGATTGCTGACGCGCGGCTGGCGCAACGCATGGCAGGAGGGCTGCTATGGCTGAGCGGGCGCACCAGGCCAGACGTTGCGTTCGCAGTGAGTCGCCTTGCGTCACAGGCCGCCGCAAACCCTCCGTGGGCGTTGAGGCTGGGTAAACGTATCCTCCGTTACCTCGCTGGCACTCGTTCCCATGGCTTGGTGTTCGAGCCGCAGGGCGAGGCCATGAAGCTCGAGGTCTACGCGGGTGCGAGCTTCGAGCCCGAGGTTAGCCAGACAGGCGTTAGCACGTTTCTCGGGGGCTGTCTTGTGGACTGGAGGTCTTGCAAGCAACCCCAGCCAGCGCGAAGCGCAGCAGAGGCCGAAATCACCGCGCTGAGCATGGGTTGCGTCATGCTCGAGGGCGCCGAGGCTGTCCTCGGGAGCATGGGAATCAGGCCATCTTCGGTGCATATGTGGGGTGACAGCTCCGCTTCCCTCCGCGTTGCCACTGGGCAGGGCTCCTGGCGCACGCGCGCTCTAGCCGGCCGCGCCAGCGCCCTTCGAGCTCGCGCCCAGCAGGGGGCCCCAGCAGGGGACTTTGGCTTTGGGCTTCGTGGGCGCGCAAGATCAACGAGCTGATGGTCTCACTAAGACATTCAGCGTCCCAGGAATGCAGTTAGTGCGGAAAGCATTAGGGCCGCGTTCATTTTGGACTCCCATTCTTCACTCTATGACATTTTTCAATTGAACTGTTTGGGGCCCCTGCCTCGCCCGTTCCTCCAATGCCGGAGGCTTAACTCCCCTGCGGCGGTCAATTTGACACCGCCGCCGCGGGAGAGGAGGAGCGTGGAAGAACAGGCTCGGCAGGAAACCGACCAGACTGTCAAACATAATTGTTTAACAGACTTGGCTCGACAGAGCCGGAATTCGTGGCAATTTCGTTGCCGTGTTGTGCGGTGCGTGAGGTATAGCATAGCACGGCATTGTGCAGTTTCAAAGATCGCAGACTCTGGCTTTCTCTTGGTACCAGCCCATGCGTTTGTTTTCGGCCACGGTCGCAGGACACCCTGCGGGCGGATGCAGATTCAAGGCGTGAAACGCGGATAGGCTGGCACGGTCAGTCAAACAATATGTTCCCGGAGAGCTCTCCGGGAACGTCATATTTTAGTCGCTTAGGGCATTGCGTTCGATGTCATCGTGCAGGCGCGGAGGCGTGTAGCAATGCCGCCTCCGCGCAGGCTCGATCCGAGGATGGGCTGGCATCCCCCGGAACGGAGTGTCTTCATAAGAGCTGGCAATTCCTTCGCCTCATGTGTGACTATTTGCTCCCTGTGTGCTGCATCGAGCGCGAATGTGGCGACATTTGCATGCGGTGTGTTGCGTCGACCCTTAGGGCCAGGAGGTGTGTAGCAATGCCACCTTGGCAGGGCCGGGTGTAGCAGTGCCCTGGTCCGCGGACAGCTTGTGTCCGGAATTGTTTGGCTCGAGGCCCACTCGGTGCGACGGGCGAGAAAAAGGGGGGCGATTCCCGCAAGCCTGCCGCGCAGCAGCTCCGACAATTCAAACGTTTCATTGCATCAACAAATACGTTACTTTGCGAGCGTCTCGGGATAGAGCCCAAGGAGGTCCTCAAGGAGCCCCTCCCCATCAGCAGGGAGGGCGCGATGCGTCTGCTGTCCGACATCGCAGACGGAAGATTGGTGATCCCAGAGACCCCACAGCAGATCCAACAGCGATGGGGCCCATCGGGCGCGCGCGCGGGGCCGCTCGAGAGCAGAGCCCTGCGAAGTTTCGAGGTGGGGGGTTCGAACCGGTAGTGGCCCCTTCCGGCCTTGGAAGGGGGGGGGGGGGCTCGAACCCGTAGTGACTTTTTTTTTTTTCATGATGGATTGGGGGGGGATCGAACCGGCAGTGGCCCCCCCGCGGTTTTCGAGGGGGGGCGGGGCGGGTTGGGGCCCACCAGTGACCCCTCCCCGGTTTTCCGCCAGCTGTGGTAGAACGCGTTCTTTCAGAGATGAGGCCAGAAACAATAGCAAACTATTTGGAGAGGGAACAATGGAAATGGTGCCATGAACTGGAACGACTTCCCGATCTACGCATCGGCGTCGACAGTATCACATTGGCGGAAGTACAGCGGGCAGACAAGTCCCTGGAAGTACAAGAAGCGGCCAGTGGTGACGGAGTATCGCCAGACGCGTGGCGCGCGCCGTGGAGAGACAGCGCAGCTTTGGAAATCTAGCAAACTCTATGTAACGATTGCTGCTCGCAAAAGGACACGCCCAATACTTGGCGAGAAGCTTTAGTGGTATCCATTTTCAAGACGGGCGACGCCTCCGAGCCAGGCAACTACAGGCATTTTTTTCTGTTGGCGGTGGGCTGCGAACTATTGGCCATCATCATATAGCATGGGTTCGAAAATGGATGGGGCAGATCTCAGTGCGGGTTCCGGGCCGCGCGGGGCACCGCTGGCGCGATGCTCTTGGCGCGGGGATTAATCGACACCGCCCTGGGGGGCAAAAATGGGCATTGCTAATTCTCTCGCCGGATTGGAGCGAGGCGTTTGATCGCATGGGGCCCAACGCATTATGGTTCGCTTTTCGGCGTTTAAAGGGGCTGCCCGAGATGCTGGTCATGATTGCTGCCATCTACAAGGTGCGCATATTTATCGCCGGAGACGGAGCGATTGGTTCGTCGCAGAAGATTCAACGAGCTGGCGTTGCGCAGGGGCGCCTGCTATTGCCCCATTCGTCTGTCATCATAATGTCTGTGCTTTTCGAGGGTGTCGATGCAAGAGGTCCCCGCGCAGATTGTCAGCGCAAAGGACAAGCCTTGCGTGATCACCAAGGACGTGCTGCGCGGTGCTGACACGCCGCTGGCCTCGCAGTGCCGGGGGTTCTTTCAAAGGCACCCCCACATTTTTTGCG